CTGGTCGCGAGCTACTCTGACCAATTCCTGGCGCTCAGGCTCCGTGAGAACGTAGCGCATGTCGTCGATGTTCTTGCTCCGCAGAAAGTCATGTCGAAGCTTAAGGACAGAGAGAATGGCTCGGCCAGTCTCCTCCTGTGACGCAAAGGCCGTGTCATATTCCGAGCCAGGCTGAGGAGCGCCAGCTGGATTAGTGTCCGCTGGCTCCGTGGACTTCCTCTTTTTGAAAAGCAAGAGACTGAGATGATGGAGGACTTTCGGATCGTACTCCTAGTCGTACCTGTCGTCCCAAAGCTTCCTCAGCTCCCTGTGCAAGTCGCCCGCGCGATTCTGAACGACATCCTCGACGTAGTCGGGATCACCCGGTGATGTCGGTGAAAGCGGAGGAGCAGAACTCGGCGACCGATCCCAATGCACAGAAGACTCGCGGTCCGCCTGTACGCTGACGTCGGCGTCGGAGACGTTTTCGACGACAATCTTCCGCCTCTTGCTCTCCCCAGGCTGAATAGCACCAGGGAGAGTGAGCACAACCGCCACCGCATTGTGTGCGTCGTTGCGCATGCCACGATCCGTAAAAGACGCGCCAACGGCAATGGAGCAGAAACGGGCGACTGCTCCGCAGACCGCGACGTGGTCGCCTTTGAGGTCGGCCGGAGTGGCATGGACCTCCCATACCTTCTCGTCGTTCTGCTGGCGCTGGTAAGCCTCCCGCGCCTCCTGGAAAGTGAGGTTGTCGTCGCCGACTACAAGCTGAACGACTGCCTGGTTTAGATTCTCAAGAATCTTGGCCAGGCCGTCCAGGTGCAAGCGGAGATGGCGAACTGTCCGCTTTCGAGTCTGGATGGTCGGCGGTTTCTTGCCGCACACGATGTGCATGTTGGCGATCACCACGTGGAACTTGTCATGGCCTGGTTTGTTCACCTCAAAATGTGAAATAACAGCATCAACCTCTCGGCCGCTAGGAGGCCTGTAAACTTTGCTGTAATCCTGAAACAGTTCCGCAGGCTGAGAAGCACCGCGGAACCCCCAGAGAGTCAAGTAGTTGTCGACCTCCGAGAAGCGAATGCCATCACCGAAAGGCTTACTGAGGATCTCTGTCACGTTGATCCCTGCTCGGCGAAAGCCTTCACGGAACGCACCGACCTCGCAGCCACAGACAAAATCAGCATCAGCGGTCTCCACTATCGTGGCGCACAACCTTCCGAAGTTAGCGCAGTGAGTGGCCGCCTGCTTACCAGTCATCATGCCCTGCTCGAACCCGAAATTGAACGAGGCGACCGTGAAAGACGCAGGCTGCACAGCGCCAGAACCAGGCGTCTGTCCACCTTCCTCCGCAGGCTGAGAAGCTCCGCGAGGCGGCGCAGGCTGAGAAGCACCGCGAGGCGGCGACACTTCGGACGAGCCTCGCGGAGCAGAGGCTGCGGATGAACGTTGGACATGGGGGTACGGCCAGGGGAACGCCATTGCAATCAACACTCAGTGGACTGCAGTGAATGAATGTAGTGGCCAATTGAATGCAGAGGACTGCAGTGTCACTAGCAAGTCCTGAACCAAACACAGCTGTGGCGGAAGGAATATGAAGCGTCTGGCTATTCAAAATGTTGCCCGGCAATGGAGTTCTGGAACTCGAAGACCAGGAAGTGGACTAGAGTTGGCTCTGGGCATCCAAAATGTAGCCCAGGAATGGAGTTCTGGGAACTCGAAGAGCACGAAGTGGCCTACAGTTGGCTCCGGGCATCCAGAATGTGGCCCGGGAATGGCGTTCTGGGATGTCGAAGAGCACGAAGTGGCCTACAGTTGCATCCGGCCCCCCAGAATGTGGCCCGGGAATGGCGTTCTGGGATGTCGAAGAGCACGAAGTGGCCTTCAGTTGCATCCGGCCCCCCAGAATGTGGCCTGGGAATGGAGTTCTGGGAAGGCGAAGAGCACGAAGTGTGTGACTGTTGGTGAAAAACGAGCCCGGCTCTCTGCCGCCCGGCAACTCCCAACACCTGCCCGGACCCCCCTGTGGAGTGATCTGCTGCTCTCTTTTGATCCCACTAGAAACCTATCAGTCTTCGCTGTTAGGTAAAAACGGAAACGAAGAGGCTCAACGCTTTCCACATGAGATGCTTGAGGCAAATGCTCCGCATCCCACATTCATACATGTATCCGCGTGAAAGCAATTCTGCAACAAGCAGGCACCACCACCGCGCTGAGCAATGTCCGACTGAACCGTCAAATGCTGCTCCTGGGGCATGTCGCAGCGAAACCAGCCGACGATCCAGTCAGGAGCACTGTCCTTCGCCATTTTCGTGCGAGCTGGCAGCGCAGAGCTTCTAGCGGATGCGGGAGCGCCCCAAGAAGACTCTGGCCGAGTCAACTGACGGGGCCCTGGGACACACAAATAAATACACACTAATAACACAATTCCCCATATTTTCAATATTTTCTGGGTTTTTGTCTTCCCCCCCACTCTCCATAGTTTCCCATTTTCTGGGGAATCGACGATTCATTGTGTCTGTGTGTGTGTTTCTCTTCTGACAACTTTTGCCCAGGCTGTCTGGGCCGCGGGGGGCGAGGAGGCCCCGCCTAGGCTCTGGAAAGGCAGCGCAACTTCTGCCGCAGCCCGGAACGCAGCCGTGAAGCGGTATATTGCGACGCCATGTGCGGCCACGGCTTCTGTGCTCATGCGCTCTGCACTCGGCTTTATCTCTCTCTCTCTCTCTCTCGAAGGTCGATCCTCGCTCTCCTCGATCCTCGGCCTCGACCCCCGCCTCCCTCGACCCTCGCCTTCCCGGAGCCTCGACCTCCTCGACCTCCCCGAACACTCCCCGAACACTCCCCGAACACTCCGCGGAGAGACCGCCCTCGACCCTCGATCCCCGATCCTCGACCTCCTCGGCCCCTGACCCGCGGGCGGCCACTTCTCCGCGGCGCGGGCCCTCTCGGCCTCGTGCACGTCGAGGCCCAGCAGGCCGATCACCGTCCTGCGGCCAGGGTCAAGCCGAGCCCGTCCTCCTACAGGGGGACCCTGGGCGAAAAATGAGACAGAGACCCCCAAATGGGCCAAACGTACAAACAAAAACCGTGCCCGGACCATGCTTGATCCCTCCGGTAGAGGCAAGTGCCCGACCCAAGAGCCTGTTTTCTTTGGATTCAGGCAAGTTTACTTGCATGGCGTTCGCCCCACACCCCCCCCCCCCTCGCCCTTCTTCAAGCGAATACTAGCGTGCAAGTGCCTTTCGACTTGCGTGATTTCCGCGCCCCCCCCCGGGCTTGCTTCAGGCTCAGCCCCCCCCCCCGTCCATGCACGTAAACTTGCCGGAGTCTAAAAAAAACCAGGCTCTAGAAGCAAGTGCCCGACCCGAGACCAGGGGCGGCCACGGGGGGCCGCGCACGTCTCGGCCGGAGGCCCCCCGCCCGCGGCGCAGAACCACGACGGGCCCCGCCGAGCCCCGCCAGCAGCACCACGAGGGGCGGGGCCTCCGGAGGCCCCCCGCGGGCGGGGCCCGAGCAGACGGGCTCGGAGGGAGCCTGTTTTTTTTAGACTCTGGCAAGTTTACTTGCATGAACGGGGGGGGGGCTGAGCCTGAAGCAAAGCGAGGGGGGGGGTGCGCCAGAATTTCGCCAGTCGAAACGCATTGCATGCTGGTATTCGCTTGAAGAGGGGCGAGGGGGGGGGGGGGGCGAGCGCCATGCAAGTAAACTTGCCTGAATCCAAAAAAAACAGGCTCAGGATCCCGCCGCACCGCTGGTGCGCCGGCGATGCTGCACGGGCGACGCCGGGGAGCCATCGGCGAAGCCGGCGCGGAGAAAGTGGGGCTCCGCATCGAGCCGCCTCGCCGAGGCGTCCGCGAGGCATCGGCCGTGCGCGCCATCCCCCGACCCCATCCGCTTCGACCCCACGCGGGAGGTCTGGAGTCTCGCCGTCTTCGGCCCCTGGGGCCCTTGGCCTCGGGGCCGGCAACAGAAAAACGGCTCGGGAGGAGAGACCGGTCCCGGGGAACGGGTCGAGAGCTCTCTGGGGGTCGACGCCATGAAACAAATCATGACGTTGGGGGTAGGGGCAGAGGGGGGGCTAGAATAGTATCGCGCCTTGAATAGACCCTGGAAGACGGAAATGTGAGCATTCAGCTGGGGTCCTTCCCTAATCCCACTGTGGGATACCCCCCCTCTACGAACCCCCGACTCCCTGCATCTCTCTCTCTCTATCTCCTGACCAGCCTCGAGCTTCTCCCTATCCCTGGGCTTGGCAAGCCCAAAGGCGATGACAACTGAGGGCATCCTTAAGATCGGCATCGAGACAGTACGAGATAAATGCGACGACAGTCATAGGGACGGGGTGTGTTTTGAGCAGGGACCCACCGTCCCAGCATTCCTATAGTCCTACCACGACATGTTCTTAGAACCCAAGAATGTTCGGATAACAAAAACGATGTTCTTAGAACACAATCCCGATGTGATAAACCAAGACCGTCCCAACCAGAAATGCTCTAAGAACGTTTCGTGGGTACCACAGAAGGTTGTTAGAGCATTGTTTGGTAGGGTTATAGGCACGCCAGGACGCTTCGCCACTGCGTCATATCGGGGGCGGCCAAGAGGGGGACGTCCAAAGGGGGGGCACAAATCATGGCCGGCGGCATGTGTGCGGCCCAGGGGGGGGCCAGGGACGCAATGAGATAAGAAAAGGCGCCATGAGACCTGGGGAAATATCATGGCCGCGTGCGTGTGTGCGTGCGTGCGTGCGTGCGTGCGTGCGTGCGTGTGTGTGTGTGTGTGTGTGTGTGTGTGTGCGTGCGTGCGTGCGTGCGTGCGTGCGTGCGTGCGGCGGGCGCGGCGTGATGTGTGTGTGTGTGTGTGTGTGTGTGTGTGTGTGCGTGCGTGCGTGCGTGCGTGCGTGCGTGCGTGCGTGCGGCGTGCGTGCGTGCGTGCGTGCGTGCGTGCGTGCGTGCGTGCGTGACGGGGTGTGTTCCGGGCTGGTCCTCTCCTGCTCCCTCTTCGGCCCTCCCGGCCCGCTCCTGAGGGCGCGCGCCGCGCTCGCGCCGTGCGGCCTCGCGTCGGGGCGGCGGCCACGGGGAGCCCGGCGACCCATGGCCCTCGCTGCTGCACGGCGACTTCGGCGACGAGAGCGGCGACGCCCGCGAGAAGACCTCGGCTCCGAGAGCGGACGGGGAGGCGGAAGGGACGAGGGGGGGGGGAGCGAGGGAGGGGAATGGACGGGGAACGAGGGGACGAGCAAGCAGGGTTGGGGAGGGACACGGGGGCGATGGGGACGGGGGGCGAGGCGGGAACCAACCAGCATTTTCCCGTCCAGGAAGAGGTTTAGCACTGCTCCGTCTTGATATACAGTCCCTCCCCACTCCACCCGCGACAGACCAAAGCCATTGCGGGCCCCCCTCCGCCACCCGTGACAACAGAGTGCGTGTCTGGCCACGGCGAGCCTCGGCCACTAACAGGTTCCCTGGTCTGGGCCTAAGGAGCGGCCCGAAAACTGGCGCCCCTCCTGAGCCCCAAGTGGTCCCTGTGTCAGCGTCTTGGCTGTGGCCAAGGAATCGCACAAGGCTTAGGACTGCATCTCGGGATCGGTTGCCTCGGTGCCTTTGGGGAGAGAGTCTCGAGGACACTTCGCTGTTCGAAGCCAGGGCCAGGTAGCAATCTGCGGCAGAGAAGGCAGCGGCATGCATCGGCACGCTCGACACGAGGCGGAGCGGAGGAGCACGGCGATGCACACAACAGCAGGAATCGCCAGAGGATGCTTCGCGCCACCTTGACGCATGCGCGACTACCGTGAAGGGGCCCCAGGACACACAAACAAATACACACAAATAAAAGTATCCCCCATGTTTTCCCACATTTTCTGGGTTTCTGTCTTCCCCCACACTTCCCATATTTTCCAATATTTTCTGAGGAATCGACGATGAATTATGTCTGTGTGTTTTTCCCCCTCCTGACTACCGAGCGTCCGATGGCTCCTTCACGCATTCCACAAAGCACACACGGCACGCGCGGTGCCTGCTGGCCGCCATCGCGTGGAGCGCCCTCACCCCGTCGTGCGTCCTCCGCTAGGGGGGAAAAACAAACCGACCTCGCTTTTGACCACAGACACACAAGCTAACAAAACTAAAAAACCACAAAAAATGTCAATACTGAATGAAAAATTGAATGTATAACCAATGTTTGAGTTATTGTGCGATCGCTTCCAATTTTTTCCATCCGGCAAGGTCATGCGGTACGGATCTGAGTGTTTCGTCTGGCAACGCTACAGGGTTACCACGTCCTCTGGTCTGTCCCCGCCGGACTACAAACGCAAGTGTGCACCAAGTGCAGAGAACTGCTACGATACATCATGTGGGCATGCGCTGTCCAAGGGAAAACTGACAGTGCGGAGTATGTAACGTACCAAATGATGCCAAACTGCAGCCTGTACTGGTCAGGCCGCTTGACGAGGAGGCGCGTGGTATGGCTTGGCTTTGCCCGGGAGCGAAAGCGGGGTAGGCAATTCACGCTCTGCTTCTCTTTCTCGCTCCTCGGGAGCGCGCGCCTCTGCTGGGACCGCGCGGTCCGCCGCTCCGGTGCGCCGCCCGCGGCACAGCCAAGCGCAGAGCCGCGGCTATCTTTATAGAAAGTGCATTAAAATACACCCTGCGAAATGCTTAAGAAATCATGGGTTAAGAAATTCATAGCCTCAGAACTTGAATAACAACCCAACATTTCCATCTAAAATCTCAAGATTTACATTGAAACGTCAAGAATAATCGAGACTCTGGCCGAAAACTTAAGTTTTCTTAAGCATCGCCTAAGGTGTACAGGGAGCGCGATGCGGGCCGTGGGCGCGCGACCGCCGCTCGACCTCGCGGCGCGGACCGGCGCCCGCGGCACTCCTCCTCCGGCCCCATCGGGGGCGCCCGAGACGGAGACCGCAGCGGCGCACGGGGCTACACCCTGTGGGCATCCGACCGCGCCTGCACAACTGCAGCGTGAGCTCGGAGAGGCGGCAGCATCGCCATCGTGCCCGCCTTGTGTCTCCCGCCTGAGCACAGCTCTGCACCAGAGTGGGGGGCCCCGCGCCGGCTCCCGTGCCGCACTGCCCCCACCGCGTGGCCGTACACCTTAGGCGATGCTTAAGAAAACTTGAAATTTTTCGGCCAGGGTCTCGATTATTCTTAATGTTTCGATGGAAATCCTAGGATTCGAATCGAAATTCTGGGTTTTTTATTCAAGTTCTGAGACTGTGAATTTCTTCACCCATGATTTATTCCGCATCCCAACAAACAACAAACAACACAAGCGTCAGGGAACGACCGCGACGAGGGGGCGGGAATGAGGGCGAACTCCAGGCGACAGCCCCAGGGACGAGCAAGCGGGAGAGCAGGCAGAGGAGCGACGCAACACGGCGGAAGGAAGGACGGCGACACCACCCAGAAGGCGGGCGAGCGGGAGAGCAGCGCCGGCATTCAGAGGCTTCTCGCATTGATCCCCTCACGCGCAGGATGAGAATCGTACATCAAGACACCTCTGCCGGGCAACTTGCTGGAAACGAGGGGAGGATGGGGAGGCGAGGAGAGGCATGAATTGGGGACCATAGGGCTCCTCCTAGTGCGTGGCCCACGCTGGACCGGCCGCTGACGCCCACGAGTCGGGCCGGGCGAAAGGGGGGGATAGCAAAGGGGGGGGTTGAGAATCAGCTCACGTAGCTGATGTTCCGGGCGCCTCCTGGCGCCGGAGGCGCCGATGCATCGAGGCATGGGCCCCTGGGTGGGGCCGAAACCGGCTGCATGCAGCAAATCTTGTAGCCCCCCTCTTCCCAATCCCCCCCTCTCGTCCGGCCCGAACGAGTAAAACAGGGCTAGGATCGGGATAAATCGCTCCAGAGCGTTCGGGAGCGCTCTCAGAGCGTTCTGGAACGCTCTGGAGCGGCCGCGGCGCCCAATACATCCTCCAAACCCGCCGACTCTCAGAGACTTCGAGTGATCCCGATCCGATTTTGTCCCGCTCTTCGAGTCGTTTTATCCGCCCTCCCTGGCGCGCCGTGCGCCCGGCGCTCCCTCCCGCCACGAGGCCGGCGAGAGGAGGAGGAGGAGAAGGAGGAGGAGGAGGAGGCCGGCGAGGCGGCGAGAGGCCCCTCCCGCCGCACCGTGCCAGGCTCTCGGCCCGCCCGGGCGCGCCACCGCGGCCACTGCCGCACGGTTGCCGCGGGGGGGTCCGCGCCCGTCGACGTGCCGCCCTGGGCCTCGAGCACCGCCTCCTCCTCCTCCTCCTTGCCGCGGGGGCTCCGAGCACGGCCTCCTCCTCCTCCTCCTCCTCCTCCTCCTCCTCCTTCCAATCATCAACATCATCATCATCATCATCATCATCATCATCATCATCATCATCATCATCAGCATCATCATCATCATCATCATCGTCATCATCATCGTCATCATCATCAGCAGCATCATCATCATCATCATCATCATCATCATCATCATCATCATCCAGACATCCTCATGCAAACGGTGCGGATGTCCGAGCGGCCTTGGCACCTCCCAGCGCGCCTGATTCTCCTCCTCCCCTCGTCCTGTCCTCGGGGGAGGAGGCGGCTGGCAATCCCTCCTCACTCTGTTGAGTCACTACAACATGTCACAGCTTCAAGGTCGCTGGCAGCTCCCGACTCTCCTGTCGGCGCCTCGAGGAGGATCCCCTGCGGACGCAGACAACGTCCTCTAGCACCAGCAGGACTCGTGTAGAAGGGGCCACGTCGTTGCCCCCATCCTCGGCGACATCCAATCTCAAGACTGCGTTCGCAGATATTTCGCGGACTGCTGAGCCCATGTGAGGCAGTTTGAGATGGATTTTGAATGTCACCATACTAGGATTTTGATCCTGCGCACCGTCGCCACACTCAAGATCATCCATAAGATTGTTGTAGGCCACCGTGGCCCATTTCATAAACGCCCTCTTATTGACGACCCACTGCAACAGCCCCGCGCCTTCGCATACAGGTCCACTCAGCTTCAAGAACTCGGCGGAGCAATGCAAAATAGGCAAACCGTCGATGTCTGGGTTGATGTGGACAGTCATTCCCGCACACTGGGTACCGATCAGTGCACCAGAAGAGAAACTCCCTGATGAACTGATCGAATCCTCCGAGATTCCTGCACAGGCGTCGGAACGCGAGACCACTGGCCTATCGCGAAGCTCGCTGTCAGGCGGCGCCCGAAGAAAATCAGAATCTTCCTTCACACCCACTATGTGGATCGGCTCGTCGTCTATGTCAATGCCCTGGGCATGGAATAGCTGAAATTTCACCGGCATACCCCATGAATCTTTGAACGACACGTGAACGGTGCTAGCATCATACATTGGCCGATTCAAGAATGTATCCAGACGGTCCTTCTCGGAAGCGTCGAAGGCTAAATCAACAAATGAGACACCGACACCCATAGTTGTGGGGGATCTGAAAAGCAGTGTGGCAAGGTGTGCGGCTGGCTTTGAGAACAGAAGATCTTGCGACAAATGCACCACCGCGTCGCACACACTTGACAAGAGCCCGCCCGCTATGGACTCAACATTTCGCGACGTTTTCGCCTCCAACATTGCCAAAAACTCAGCGTCGCGGGACTTTCTGACGGATGCTGTTACGGCGAACATGAGGAGCGAAACGATCAACTCCTGACGCGTGTCGGCGGGCTCGTACACCGGCGAAACAGCTGCGACGTACACAAGACCCAAAACGAGAGTCAGCCTAGGTCTGCAATGAACAATGCTCACTGCGATGCGTTCGCAGATTCTCACTGGGCTGGCTTTTAAGAAAGCGATCTTGTCTTCGGCAGTGACCGCAAGGTACCAGACGACCGTATACAGGAGCACGTGGAACAAGAACACGACAGTAGGGGTGACCAAATGGGGCTTGAGAGTACCTGCCATAAGGAACATAGTCAGAGCCATGTTGCCGAGGCGCGCCGCTGAGGACATATCATTCTGGACCAGTTGAACCATGTTATAGCAGAAGGCAAAACAGAGTATCCTAGGGCACCCCCAGACCACTTGCTCAGAGAATCGTTTGTCCGCCATATCCTTCAGCTGACGATGTAACGGATGCGGTGGTGACATGAAGAGCAGCCACTTCGCCGTGGCATTGAACAAAAACATAAACTGAGCTCAATCGCGGGAAGACGCCCCACAGCCCAGAGCCGCGAAACCGCCAGATAATGATCGCGAGTGTCAGGCAATTGAAGGAGACAAGTACGATAAGCCAGGCACGATCGTCCAACATGATCGGGCCCAAACGATCACTGCCCTGGGCTAAAAGCTGAGTCCGTTTCGCTGGAATGCGCCTGGAGTGGGGCCTCTCGCTTGAGCCAAGACGGCTAGGACCTGTCCTGCGTCCTTCTTGTTCCACGCTAGGCCGTCGAGCTATCAAGCACGGGCTGCCCGTGCAGGCAAACGATCTGTGCCATGCCCTTTGCTGAGAGAGAACCTTGTCGCACCAAAACTATATGATCTCCGTCCGTGTATCTGCTGGGAGTCCTACCACCACTCGGGGTGTAACAGAGGGCTACTCTTCTCCTCCACCCTCCCCAAGAGATCTGGATCGAGCCGTTCGCCGGGAGCTGGACACAACAAAGGCTTCAACGTGTCTGTGAGGTGACACCCAAACCTCCCGATGATGTTCCCGATTTAACGAAATCACAGCGCAGCACGCCAGACTTACGTCTAAGAGGGGCCCATGCGTGTCCAAAGAAGATCCGGAGGCTCCCCCAGGGAGTACCAAGTCCCCCCATGTGTTGGCCGATCGCTGCCAGCATGGCCCAGGACGGCCCGACAGGCTCCCACACTTGCTCCACGAGAACCACGAGAGCGCCCCAAATGGCCCCCTAAAGAGATTCAACATGGCTCCACATGTCCTCTTCGCAGCCCCCCAGAAGGCGCCATGTTGTTTTCTAGGGGGCGCTCTGGGGCTGATCACGGTTGGGGCTTTCGCATGCTCCTCACATCCCATCTTAAAGCAAGCCGCGTGATGATATGTTATGTCTGTGCTGTCGGGAACACTTTTTTTGCGTCGGCGGCTAGGCAGAGGGTGACTGCGCTGGCGATGGGGGCTTAAACGGGGATGCCTGAAGCTCGAACATTTGTTTGCCATGTGATCGTACATCGGGAAGGGATACTGCGCGAAAACGATAGATTGTAATCTAACCGCTCTCCATTCAGGAAATGGCTTCAGATTTCACGCTCAGGTCGTACGCACGTGCCACGGGCGTGGTCTGGAAATGCTCTTCCCTGCTGTCTTGGCGAACGAAGGACGGGATGTCACAAACTTCTCCGCCGTGTGGAACGCCTGTCGCAGGGGGATCGGCAACAGGCTGTGTCACTACGTGCCCCCTCGGCTGTGTAAACTTTCCAGCCGCCCTGGGACAGTCGCCCCCTGGCGGAGAGGCTTATGGTACACCGTCTTTCGTGCGCTGACTCCTCGTGGCCGCCTCGGGTGGGCCCCCCTCTGCAGGCACGCCAGCCCACACCCAACCAGGCGTGATCGAGTCAAAAGGAAACCATCCATTTGTTCCCTTCCCGCCAGAAGGCTCCGAGCGGCCACCTGTCCCAATACGGGCGCAAAGGCCGCCAGGATGGCCCAAAAGGCCCACCAAGACGCCGTATGAGAGAAACCCCAAGGATTCCGCAAGCAAACTCAAGACAGGCTCGAGAGTGCAGCAATTGACCAACTTTCGGCGTTCAATGCGTGCAATTTCCTACGCTTTTCCGCCAACCCTAAGATTGTTTCATGATAGTATCAGATGACCCAGAGACGGCCAGACAGAGCCACATGATGCCCCCGACCTGGCCCAAATCGTCCCCCAGACGGCCCAAGAGTCGGTGGAAAGGGGGTGGCCCTGGAGAGTCATTCCGTCGTCGCAATCACCGCGTACATGGCTCAACAGCGCAAGCCTCAAGACCGCCAGGCAGGCTGGGAGCGTCACACGAAACGCCGCAAACAGCGACAGCGCTGGTTTGCGAGGCGGGGATTTATCCATATCCACCGCCTGGGAACTGACGTCCTGGTGCACCAGCGGGCGGTGGAGATGGCTATATATTTTAGCCCCCAGGGGGGCCCGAATATAATTATTCATCAATGATGGGAAGACTCAGGTTTGACGATAGTGCACGTCACGCGTAGCAGCTCAGCCCAGCGGCTAGCATCTGCGTGCGGCCCGCACGCTGTGCAGACCTCCTCTCAGCACTGTACTGGCCGTCAAGCCCGCCCTGCCCGTCCTGGCCGTCAGACCTCCTCTCAGCTCTGTCCTGGCCTCTCAGCGGGGGGCCCGAATATATCCATATCCGCCGCCTGCCCGCCACCCGTCCTCGTCGAAGCGCGACCGCTCGCGTTCGGGTTGTGGGTCAAAGATCTGTCGGGTGCCTGGGGTGCGGGTAAAGCTATCACGCGCCGCGGCTGATCCGGGGGGGGGGCATGGGGGCGCTCAAGATTCTTGAGCACCCGAACGCGAGCGGTCGCGCTTCGCCGAGGATGGGTGGCGGGGAGGGGTGGGGGGACGATTTGTTAACATGGGGCCCTGGAGGCGCTCAAGATTCTTGAGCGCCCCCAGAGCCCCCCCCGGATCAGCCGCGGCGCGTGATAGCTTGACCCGCACCCCAGGCACCCGACAGGTCTTTGACCCACAACCCGAACGCGAGCGGTCGCGCTTCGACGAGGATGGGTGGCGGGGAAGGGGGGGGGACGATTTGTTAAGATGGGGCCCTGGGGGCGCTCAAGATTCTTGAACGCCCCCAGGGCCCCCCCCCGGATCAGCCGCGGCGCGGATAGCTTGACCCGCACCCCAGGCACCCGACAGGTCTTTGACCCACAACCCGAACGCGAGCGGTCGCGCTTCGACGAGGACGGGTGGCGGGGAGGATGAGGAGGAGAGGATCGCACCAGAGGAGGAGGAGGAGGAGGGGGAGGAGATTTCCAGGATGAGGAGGAGGAGGATGAAGAGGAGGAGGAGGAGGAGCAGGAGGAGGAGGAGGAGGAGGAGGAGGAGGAGGAGGTGTGGCCCCATGTTAACAAACCGTCCCCTCCTCATCCTCCCCGCCACCAATCCTCGTCGAAGCGCGACCGCTCGCGTTCGAGTTGTAGGTCAAAGACCTGTCGGGTGCCTGGGGTGCGGGCCAGGGCATAGGGACCTCAGGCCTGCCGCCGTTGTTTGGTCCTTCAGGGTTTCTTTCAGATTTTCTTCCAGATCTGTCAACATATCTCCCCGCTAGCACCGGTATGCACTCTACTGGGCGGACGAGAACAAGAGGATGAGCATGACCAGGAGGATGAAGAAGGCCATAACAGAGGAGGGATGGGGGAAGAGTGGGAAACAGATGGATAGTTACAGCCTTTGATGAGGCTTCCCCTCGTAGGCCCTCCGAGGATGTCATTTTCAGTCGTGCGAATGTACAACTGTGTTGTTGTCGAGGGCCAGGACGTGCTAGAACCTATGCGGGTGCAAAGTGCGCGCGTGGTTCTAGGATGGACCATGGACGGAGGGATGTAGTCACCACGACACCAGCCGCTGCTTGTGAGCGTGCACGGATGGATGGGTGGATGAGGGTGTTTCCGTAGCCGCTTCGGACCAAACCGTTGATCTTGAACCCGCCACGGCACCATGCTTTGGCGCCAGTGCGGATGCGGGTGCTGGCATCACGGTGGCAGTCCTAGGTCCTTAGCTCCCTCGGTGAGCCGCTGTGCTGCCGCCCATTACGGCCCACAACATTTGCGCCTTTCGAACGGAGGGGTGTCTGTGTCAACGACACTTTTCGTGATAATGTGTACCCCGGGTTCGGTGCCGCGCAAACAGGCGGGCAAACTCAAGCAGCAACTCCTTGGAGGCGGCACCGCAACTGATCGGGTTCACACATTGCGGACGTACCGAGACTTCATCAAATGATCGACAGCGGCTTGGCAGCAGTGCTGGCAGTGACGGGCCGCGTCTGATCCCGTGGCATCTCCGTCCCTCCAGCAGAGCCCCTCGGGGAGCCATCTGCTGGCTGGCAGTAGTGCTGGCAGTGACGGGCCGCGTCTGATCCCGTGGCATCTCCTTTCCTCCAGCGGAGCCCCTCGGGGTGCCACCTGCGGCTTGGCGGTGGTGCTGGCAGTGACGGGCCGCGTCTGATCCCGTGGCATCTCCGTTCCTCCAGCAGAGTCCCTCGGGGAGCCATCTGCTGGCTGGCAGTAGTGCTGGCAGTGACGGGCCGCGTCTGATCCCGTGGCATCTCCGATCCTCCAGCGGAGCCCCTCGGGGTGCCACCTGCGGCTTGGCGGTAGTGCTGGCAATGACGGGCCGCGTCTGATCCCGTGGCATCTCCGTTCCTCCAGCAGAGTCCCTCGGGGAGCCATCTGCTGGCTGGCAGAAGTGCTGGCAGTGACGGGCCGCGTCTGATCCCGTGGCATCTCCGTTCCTCCAGCGGAGCCCCTCGGGGTGCCACCTGCGGCTTGGCGGTAGTGCTGGCAATGACGGGCCGCGTCTGATCCCGTGGCATCTCCGTTCCTCCAGCAGAGTCCCTCGGGGAGCCATCTGCTGGCTGGCGGTAGTGCTGGCAATGACGGGCCGCGTCTGATCCCGTGGCCGCTCGGTTCCTCCAGCGGAGCCCCTCGGGGTGCCACCTGCTGGGCTGGCACGGCCGTCGAGGCCTTGCCCGGCCAGTGGGGAGCCCCTGGCCGTAGGTCGGGCCTGTCCCCCTACAGGGGGATTGTGGGCGAACCATGAGAAATAATCAAAAAATGCTCGAACGATGCCCCGAACATGCTCAAAACATAGTCCCCAGACTATGTTTGACTATGTTTGGATATTCACACTGTGGAGGGACAGGCCCGACTGAACCCTGGCCTGGGGCGGCGTTCTGACGGGGAGGCTGGCGACGACGAGCTAGCGGCGAGTCGGCTCCGATACGGCGTGGAGCCTCGCGTCATATGCAGTGCTGTAGGCTCGGCCCCTCGTGGGTCGCGACAGCGCGGTAGTGCTGTGGCTCGTGAGCCTTCCACGTCAGCATCGAGCCTCT